ATAGTAATAATAATAAAAATATTAATAATATAAAATATATTATAAATATATTTATATCATTTTATGGTGTTATAATTATCCTCGATATAGACCATCATAGGTATACATATATATTGCTAATACGTGCAGAAAAACAATAACGTATCACAGCCCACTCTGTATAATCGTATAATTCCGCCTTGAACACTCCCCGTCCGATGACAGTCCCACTGCGTTGTGGCTTTTTCCCGGATTTTTCCACCCTTCATCGACGTATGATTATACCTATAGGTACCGCATGTCTGGTATACGGATTTTATTATTGCAATGTGTTTTTTTCCCCACAGTATTTGTTCTACCTGCCTTTCCCGAGGTATTCGAAACGAATACAAATATACGCGTAAACAACGAAATCGGATGAAAACAAACGGAAATCTGTCAGTATGTAAATAATTTTATTATATTTAAACATATATGTATATTGTATACTCGGTAAGGTGATATTTTGTTCCGCGGACATTTTGTTCCTTTTTGGGGACATTTTGTTCCTTTTTCAAAAAAATTAAACACGGAACAAAAAATCCTAAAACGGAACAAAATGTCCGAGTGGGATATTTTGTTCCGCGGGGATATTTTGTTCCTCTCGGTGGACTTTTTGTTCCTCTCGGTGGACTTTTTGTTCCTCTCGGTGGACTTTTTGTTCCATTTTGTGAATAATTTAATCCTTACATAAAATTTAAAAGTGGAACAAAATATTATGAAAAAAATATGTAATATGAAAGTTATATACTCTGAAAGTATTCAAAACCAGGGGCGTCATTTCAGTTTTTTTCCGGGTGTGCAAGATTTTAGGCAGGCCAATTTTAATATTTAACCAGGCCAACTTTAACATTAATATCTAAAAAAGGCTGCATACTAGTTGCGGTCATGACGATTTTTGAGATAAACGGATATAACAGTTGCGGTCACGCCAATTTAGGTAATATCTTAGTTGCGGTCATAGCTTTATTATACTCCAATTCTTCCATAACACGAACAACCAATGCATGCGAAAGCTTTCATTCAAAGCTCAATAGCATGTTTTACCACTCTCACCCTAATATTTTTATATTTATTGACGCTTTAAATGAAATTCAAACGAATGGATATTTAAAAATGAATTGTACAAAAAACAGTCGTGTTAATAAAAAGTCAATAGAAAAAGAGCATTTTTTAGCGCAACAAATACAGTATTATGAAGAAGGCGAAATAAATCGGCCTTAATTTCTAAAGTCGATTTCCTTTAAATTTATACCAACAAAATTTTAAAATTTACACAATTTATATAATAATAATTATTTGACATTATTATACATATTATATTATATTATACTTTGACACAAGTTTAAACATAAGTATCAACATTTTTAACCATACATACACAATAAATAATAGTGTAGACAGTCCTAAGTCTGTTATCTTTTCGATATAAATGGGAAGGAAAATGTTGATTTGATGTTTGATATTAATTTCATATTTAATTATTATATAAACTATATTATATTATATTATTTAGTATACTTAGTTATTATTATTTGAGTAATAATATGTAACTATACTAGTATGTAACCTTTTTGTTGGGTGACCGCAACTAGTATGTAACCTTTTTGAGGGGTGACCGCAACTAGTATGTAATTTTTGATTATGACCGCAACTAGTACACACCGCTAAAAAATAACCATGCCGTTTAAAGTATTTAAGTATGTTAATATTTTCTCCTTCCCTTTTATAATCCTAATAAAAAATTACTCATATCAACTAATTTATATTGAAATTTTCAAATAGCTAGCAGTTCATTGTATTAGAAGGTTTTTAATAAAAGCATATAAGCAACTAAAACAAGTAACAACTAGTGGCCAACAGAAGCCATTTTACTACTTTTTGCAGAATTAAAAGCAAATGCAGTTTAAGGAATTATTTTTAATAAATGTAATTCAAAAATTAAACACTTTTCAATATTCATACAAAATAACACATTATTAGTTACTTTTCTACAGGTTCTAATATATTATCTGCTATATGCTATTCTTACTCCACTATAGCTGATACCAGCAGGCTGGACCGAACTGTCTAACATAATAAAACCACAGAATAAAAGACTCGTTTCACACGGTTATCAAATAGGTATACATTTGATAATAAATCTGATAAAGCTGATAAAAAAAATAAATTTAAATTACATGCACGAATCAGTGGCGTCAAAATATATATTTACTTGGTGTATGGTACAGTAATTATAATAAATAGGTGGGTGTCAAAATTTTATGTGGAAGTGTCTTATGTCATAGTTAAAATTTTGGACTCCAGCGCCACTGGGCCAAGAATATTTTATTAATTTTTAATAGTAATCATATCGGTGCATAGGAGGATTAATGGAGGGCCAATTATTTATTCCATTATGTTAGTGGTGCCGTCGCAACCCTGCCCACCCCCAAATGACGCCCCTGTTCAAATCACTAAATAAGTTTAAATTCGAATACTATACAATCATATGCTAACACGTTTTAAGTCTTAAGTATTTAGTCACGTGTTCAGTCGTGTAGTGTGTACATATATATAGTGGTTAAAACGTAAGTCCCATAAGGGAGTGTAAAATATTGTCCGTCCAATTGAATTGAATTTACATACATTTATGATGTAAGGTTTAACATAATAAAACTTATTTTAATTCTTATTACTATTATTCATAAACAAAGAAATATATTTAATATTCATATAGCGTTATTTACCTAACATAATGGATTAAGAAATTACTTTCAAATTCCTGATCTGAACATACTAATATATAATTATGTTATAGGACATTTTCTTATCCACTAATTTTCACTTATTATCCACTATATAGCCGAACACGGGGCCAAACCAAATGAAAAAAATTAATACTTTCATAATTAATCAAGATCTTAAAATTACTTAATCTATTTTCACAGTTGTATTAAGTAACTTCTTGTTTACAATATTTAATTATAATACAGTGAATATCATTCATATTTTTTTTTTTGAACAAGCCATAAACTATTTTTAACATTGTGTCGGTTTTGCACGGATATAATATAGTTTAAAATCCTTAAAGATTGTTTATTAAATTATATTGTATTTATAGTTGTGTAAATTAACTTTTATTTAAAATTTGGTAAATAATTGTTTTTATTCAAGTAGGTACCTATAATGGGTACATGCTTTTTGTTAGAGGTAAGATCACATCAATGTATTTATTTTTTCTTCACTCTCCTGAGTCCTGACATAATATAATTTAGGTATAGTGTATGGTACTTTATGTTCTTTGACAGCTCTTTAATATGTAACTTAAATTATTATAAATAACATATTTAATCACACATCATAATTTATCTACACACCAATTTTTCCGACAAGACTTTCTTACATAATATTGAACCATTTTTAAAAGTTAATACTAATAAGAGTGATTAGGAGTTTAAAATTTTAATTATTAGGTGTTGTGCTGCTGATACAATTTCAGCACCAACAAAAAATGTTCCTAGTTGCACCTATGTTTGTACCTATAATCATACCAGTAATATAGGGTATTTATAATTCTAGTATTATTGAGTATTGTTCATTATATGTGTTTATTTAATGTACAATTTAAATACATATTTACAAAAAATGTATATAATCAAATTTAAAAATTTAAACAAGTTCCCCTAAAGATAAATACAATTTAATTAAAAGTAAAAAATTTTACTATTTACCAACTTGTTTTTATTTTTCAATTGGACGGACAATATTTTACTCTCCCTTGTGGGACTTACGTTTTAACCACTAAAATATAATATGTACACAAGGCCGACTAATAACGAGTGGCGATTAAAGACGTGACTAATACTTAAGACTTAAAACGTGTTAGCATATGATTGTATAGTATTCCAATTTAAACTTATTTAGTGTTTTGAATACTTTCAGAATATATAACTTTCATATTACATATTTTTTTCATAATATTTTGTTCCGATTTTAAATTTTATATAAGGATTAAATTATCCACAAAACGGAACAAAAAGTCCACCGAGAGGAACAAAATATCCCCGCGGAACAAAATATCCCACTAGGACATTTTGTTCCATTTTAGGATTTTTAGTTCCACCATTAATGTTTTTGAAAGGATCACATTATTCACAAAGAGAAACAAAAAGTCCACCGAGAGGAACAAAATATCCCCGCGGAACAAAATATCCCACTAGGACATTTTGTTCCGTTTTAGGATTTTTTTGTTCCACTTTTGATTGTTAAAGAAAGGAACAAAAATCCTACTTTATTTTTGTTAAAATATGAAAAAGGATCAAAATGTCTCCAGAGAAGAACAAAAAATCCAAAAAGGGAACAAAATATCTCAAAAGGGAACAAATTATTCTGCGGAACAAAATATCCGCGGAACAAAATATCCCAACACCGTATACTCTGCTATGGGACATGTGTCTACGCTGTATTATATTATATTTGTTTGGCACATATTCGAAACGTTCCACCCATCGTGATCGTCCGTAGTACCTTATATATATTCGAAACATCGGTTACGGGAGTTAGATTAAATAAATCTCAAATCCGGTATGCAGGTTATTGAGGACTATTCCAAACGGGGCCGAAGATATTTTTTTTAAATGTCAGACACTCAGATCCTTTTACTGGTCAATCTTTTGTTTTCATAAATACGATTTTGAAGGTTTTTCCGTGTCTCTTAAATGCTTTTAACCAAAATTAAGCGAGAAATTCCCCGTGACTTCATTCAACCCGGTGCCCCGCAGTACCTATATTATATTATATATTTAACGTTATTAAAAAATTCCATATCAACATCATATGACAAACACTTGTGTGTATGCATTTTAAGCGGGGAACGGAATTTATTGCTTTTTTTGCGCTCACGACACTCGCCATTTGATGATGATTATTGTTTTTTTTTTTAAATATCTATCGTTTCAACGGTTATTACTTATTATGAATAAATTATCGTTAAAAATTACTTGTAACGCCTCAGCCTCGTCCCGTCTCTCGTCCTCGGTGTTCATAGTGACAAACCTGAGCACCAATAGGTCGAGCGACGCTGCCACGACTGCCAGCCCGAACAGAATGAATATCAACGTGAACGCCACGTACTCGAGTTTGTCGTTCAGCGTGTTATTCTTCTGCAAGGCTACCATATCACCGAACCTGTGAAAAGTTCAAAATCAAAAAATTACAATAAATATAGACTATATATCTAACCTATAATACAGTAATATTGATCAATAGCAAATTGGTAGTACAGCAATAAGTAGCACCAAGGCCGGATTTAGGGGAGGGCTGAGTGGGCTGCAGCCCAGGTGCCCCCACAAATTAGGGGCCCCCACAATTTTATGATATTTAAATTAGAATACAAAAAAAAATATTTTATTTATATTTACACATATTTAATTAAATAATATTGAACTTTTTTTGGACATTTAAAAATGTTTATTTAACTAACTAATAATAGATGTATTTACGTTTATTGACAATGAATGGTCTTTAAAAATCAAGATAAGATAGTTTATGTTGTCCGCGATCGGTGTGCACCGTCGATTGTAATAATATTAGTAAATGTGATTCTAAATATACACATGTGGGTTTTCGGAAATATAAAATACACATTACAGACTATCTGTCTGTAGATAAATTATCGTTATTTGTTCGTTGTACTTATTGCATGTCAGACGTCAGTTAACAACAGTTGCATACACAATAGACAATAGTTACAGACTTTATTTGTTTCTTAAATTATAAGTTAACCAGTGAATAGTGTTAAAATTTAAAAATGGAAGAAGATCGTCATAAATTAAAGCGAGTTTATATGAGTGGTGCAGATAAACGAAAATTGGTAAAAGAAAAAGATAAAAAAAATACGGAAATAATTTCAAAAACTAGGCGAATGACAGAGTTTTTCATAACACAGCCCAACATAACTTCTTCTTCTGAGGTTAGTTCAAAGTTTTACAATTACTATACAAAGAATAAATATTACTTTTAATAATATATATTTTTTATTTTTTATATTTAATAGCATATAATAATAAAATATATGCAGGTTAGGTAGTTTAAATAATAAATACTACAATTAATATTTTTTTGATGTATACATACTATACTATACTTATCTCTTCAAATTTACCTTTCCTAATTAAAATTGTTTAAAATCGAAAAAAATTATACGTATATTGGCCACTTAGGTATATATTAATCAAAAAAAAAAAAATAATAATAATAAAAAGGTGGGTAAGTGGATGTCGCTCTGCTGTACAGTAGTGGGTCACTGTATAATGGTTGCTATTAAATTTGAATTCAATGATATAATATCATTGTATAAGAAAAACGATTCTGAGCGAAGACGGTATGTCAGTCTAGGTTTAAGATAAATTATATACAAATCTATGGTATTAAAAAAAAATTGACCTATAAGAAATTCCAAATTAATCATATCACATTATCACAATATCCATTAGGTACTTATAACACGTTATACATCAACATCAATAACAAACCCTGATACTATCATCGATATATAATAATACACTTTAGAAGTTTCAAGTAGGTACCCCGTACCCACGAATAATATTATATAATCACAACAAAATAACTAGGTTTTTTAATATGAAATTTCGTCCAAATTTGAACATAAAATGACTATAAAAATAAACTGTGATTGTATATTTTTTAGATTTTTCGGTAACAGAATTAACTACTTACGTAGAATCTTGTTTTAAATTTTCAATCCTTAGCTATAAAAACTGAACATTTTATAATTTATTAATTACGATGATTAATAATTTTCGAGATTTTGAAAAATTCTGTCAAAATTCGATGTTAAAATGCTTATAAAAAAAATTGTGCCTATGTATTTTTAATATTTTTCAACTGATATTGTAACAATATATCAGGAGCCTTGTATTAAATTTTTACACTTTTTGGCCCAACAGATAAAACTTAATTGATATTTATAGAAAAAAAAAACTAAAAAAATTGAAAACTGAAAATGTCCGTAAACGGCTCAAAAAGAGTCAAAATATTTTCAAAATTGTATGGTGTATAGGAAATGCTAATATAAACATTCAGTGAAATTTTCATGTATCTACAGTAATTCGTTTTTTAATTACAACAAAAAAAGGAAATTGCCACATGAGAAATCGAGTGAATATCCAATGTTGTAAAAATTTGAATTTCAAACGCTCATAAAAATTTAATTTGACTTTCCGGTAGAGATTTTTTTATTGATAAAGGTAGACAATCTTATGAGTAATCTTGTATTAGATTTTCAAATCTTAGATTTAAAAAGAAAAATTTTTACGAATTCTTAACTCAAAATAATTTGCTAATTTTCGTGATTTTTCCATATTTTGTCAATTTTAGATTCTGAGCGGAGCGATGAATGTATTGGTTTTACAATGATGTATGTTTTTATATTTTAGATTCTGAGCGGAGCGATGAATGTATTGGTTTTACAATGATGTATGTTTTTTAGATTCTGAGCGGAGCGATGAATGTATTGGTTTTACAATGATGTATGTTTTTTTTTATTTATATTTTTATATTTTTATATTTTTGTGTCTGTCATCACGTTTTGGGACAGTAAAAGTGCTTCGATTTTCTTCAATAGTATCTTTTCTGATAGGAAAGTGAATCTAGTTGGTACTTTGGGGGGTCAAAAGTAAACATTTTCCAGTAGTTTTCACAAGCGCCGGGAAAAAACAACATAAAAATTAAGGAAAAACGGGAATTTTTACGCAAAATCGATTTTCCAAAAAATCGAATTTGGTTTTTGGTGTAACTTTAAAACAAATGACCGTAGATACATGAAATTTTCACTGGTTGTTTATATTTGCATTTTCTATACACGATAACATTTTCAAAATATTTTGATTTATTTTGAACTGTTTAGGGACATTTTCATTTTTCATTTTTTTTTAGTTTTTTTTCTAGAAATATCAATAAAATTTTATTTGTTGGTTGCGAAAGCTTGAAAATTTAATAGAAGGCTCCTAATATGTTGTTTCAAAGGCAGATGAAAAATATTAAAAATCCTTAGTCACAATTTTTTTTTATAAGCATTTAAAGTTCAAAAATTTACAAAATATGGAAAAATCACGAAAATTAGCAAATTATTTTGAGTTAAGAATTCGTAAAAATTTTTCTTTTTAAATCTAAGATTTGAAAATGAAACACAAGATTCCTTATAAGATTATCTACCTTTATCAATAAAAAAATCTCTACCGGACAGTCAAGTTAAATTTTTATGAGCGTTTGAAATTAAAATTTTTACAACATTGGATATTCACTCGATTTCTCATGTAGCGATTTCCTAATTTTGTTGTAATTCAAAAACGAACAACTGTAGATACATGAAAATTTCACTGAATGTTTAAATTAGCATTTTCTATACATCATACAATTTTGAAAATATTTTGACTCTTTTTGAGCTGTTTAGGGACATTTTCAGTTTTCAATTTTTTTAGTTTTTTTTTTTATAATTGTCAATAAAATTTTATTTGGTGGGCCAAAAAGTCTGAAAATTGAATACAAGCTTTCTTATATATTGTTACAATATCAGTTAAAAAATTTTAAAAATACATAGGCACGATTTTTTTTTATAAGCATTTAAAGTTGGAATTTTGACAAAATTCATCAAAATCTCGAAAATAATCAATCGTTGGAATTAAAAAATTATAAAATGTTCAGTTTTTATAACTAAGAGTTGAAAATTTAAAACAAAGATTCTCTTAAATAATTCATACTGTAACCAAAAAATCTAAAAAATATATAAACACACTTATTTTTTACAGACATTTTAATTTCAAATTTGGACGAAATTACATATTAAAAAACCTAGAATAACTATTTTAGTTATTTTGTTGTGATTGAATAATATTATTCGTGGGTACTTGAAACTTCTAAAGTGTACTATTATATATCTATGATAGTATCACGGTTTTTGTTGATGTATAACGCGTTATAAGTACTTAATGGATATTTTGATATGATTAATTTTGGAATTTATTATAGGTACCTACCTATTATAGGTCAAATTTTGGTTTAGTACCATAGATATGTATAATGTATATAATATGTCTTATACCTAAACTGACATACTGTCTCCGCTCAGAATCGTTTTTCTTATACAATGATATTATATCGTTGAATTCAAATTTAATATCATCCATTATACAGTGACCCACTTGTAACCTACTGTACAGCAGAGCGACACCCACTTGCCCACCTTTTTTTTTATTTATATTTTTATATATATTTTTATTTATATTTTTGTGTCTGTCATCACGTTTTAGGACAGTAAAAGTGCTTGGATTTTCTTCATCAGTAGCTTTTCTGATAGGAAAGTGAATCTAGTTGGTACTTTGGGGGGTCAAAAGTATAAACATTTTCCAGTAGTTTTCACAAGCGCCGGGAAAAACAACACAAAAATTAAGGAAAAACGGGAATTTTTACGCAAAATTGGTTTTCCAAAAAATCGATTTTGGTTATTGGTGTAACTCTAAAACAAATGAACGTATATACATGAAAATTTCACTGGTTGTTAATATTTGCATTTTCTATACACGATAACATTTTCAAAATATTTTGATTTATTTTGAACTGTTTAGGGACATTTTCATTTTCCATTTTTTTTTAGTTTTTTTTCTTAAAATATCAATAAAATTTTATTTGTTGGTTGCGAAAGCTTGAAAATTTAATAGAAGGCTCCTAATATGTTGTTTCAAAGGCAGATGAAAAATATTAAAAATCCTTAGTCACAATTTTTTTTATAAGCATTTAAAGTTCAAAAATTGACAAAATATGGAAAAATCACGAAAATTAGCAAATTATTTTGAGTTAAGAATTCGTAAAAATTTTTCTTTTTAAATCTAAGATTTGAAAATGAAACACAAGATTCCTTATAAGATTATCTACCTTTATCAATAAAAAAATCTCTACCGGACAGTCAAGTTAAATTTTTATGAGCGTTTGAAATTCAAATTTTTACAACATTGGATATTCACTCGATTACTCATGTAGCGATTTCTTTATTTTGTTGCAATTCAAAAACGAACAACTGTAGATACATGAAAATTTCACTGAATGTTTAGATTAGCATTTTCTATACACCATACAATTTTGAAAATATTTTGACTCTTTTTGAGCTGTTT